ATTAAAAACTTATGGGCCGGGCCGGGCCCTATCTATTCCATCCCTTCAGCCCCAAAGAAAACCGTCTTTTTTTTGGGACTCCACATCTCTTTGCACTGGACGTTGCAGTGGACATTATGCACTTGTTACAAAACAACCCCTTAGAGGAAGGGCTAAGCAATAAGGATGACAATGTTAGATTTTGGACGTGTATATATACATATATAATAATAATTGTGTATTATATGCTATCATATTAAGTTAAGTCCATTTAAAGTGATCAAATAAGGTTTTAGGTATTTTGGGCTTTAATGCATCTAATAAGTGTGGGCATAATACGTGTAGAAACCAAATCATTATTTTTTATTTTATGATGGGCCAAATTAGAAATAATGAAAGTTAACATGTAGTTAATTTCTATATAAATGGTTGTGGTCCCTAAATTAAAGCGTATGAAAACTTTTCTGACTTCCCATCATTAGAAAAGTGAGAGTTCATTCTCAAGACATTCATACAGATTAATTTGGAAGATCAAGAACCGCAAGAGATTCAGGAATCACATCCGTTCACATGGATTCAGGTACACTTCCGCATTTAGTCTTTTATTCTTGATGATTTGACATAGTGGATCTTGACATGATGAAGGTTTTTATCAATAAAGAATTTATTTCTAACAGACAACGGATACGAGACATGGAAGTATGGGCACTAAAGGAATTTGATGTTGCTCGTGTTTTACAAGAGATATTTACAAATAAATCTGATCATATTAATTAGACCCATTATTTTGCCCTTGGATCTTTCAAGGCTTGGTTTAATTCAATGAACAATGTTAACCCATCTTGCTCAAGTAATATTTACGCCAAAATCTACTTGGGTAATCCCAAATTCCAATTTTGGATTACGAGCCATATATGTTATATGAAAAAATCCAATGTGATTCAATCTTTTCTTAACGTTGTCCAATGCCAACAGCCAATGAGAGTTAAGCCAAGCTTATATTAGAGACAAAAGCATGTAGACATACGTGCTTTATTCACCTATCAACAAGCACAAACTATATTTGCATGCTCAACACGTAAATAACCCATAACAAAAAAAAAGTCCAATCATCTGAGCCTTTTTGCAAAAAGGTGTCAAGTACATTTCCCAACGACTCTCGTACGTAGGGCCTAGGTGGTTGGGGAACAGAAGAAGAGCTGAGGAAAAAGCCAAAAAACGACGCAACAACGGTTCAATTGGTTGGTCTCTTTGGTGAAACCTCTAATTAGTGGGGTTTGGCTGGGTCTTGCTTTAGTTGGGTTTTGATTTTGAGGGGTGATTCTTTCTCAGGTTGGCAAAAATCTTGGATAGTGTCACGGGGTCACATTAGTAGTCAGAGAGTGTGACACCCCACTATTTGTACGACTCCTCTATTATATGTACTCAACATTAGAAAGGGACGGATACTTTACACATTTACATTTGTTTTAGAACCATGATTTAAAATTATTTTCGGTTTACGTGTATTTTTTTATGAGAAAAAATATTGTAGCGAGTCACGAACCATGATTCGAAACATGACACGAATCGTCATACCAAACACCCAGTATATAGTTTCAGCAACTTCCACTGAACTTTTAATTTTGACAAGTTACTCCTTCAACTTGTAAAATTGTAATATGCTCTATTTTGACGATGATTGTGTTAAATTAGTATAAAAAAAAAAGCACAACGTTCGACGAAGAATTCTAACATTCAAATTCAAATGTAACACAAATCTTTCAATTCATCAACTTTTAATCCCTTAAATCTAACAAATTTGAGCAAAATTAGTTAAAAATGACATATTGTAACAATTTTACAAATGCAGAGATTGATTATAAAAATAAAAAGTATGGGCGGCGATTTGCTAAACCACGACAAGTTCAAAAGACAATTGTACTATAAACCCAAAAGAGAGAGAGGGGAAAATACGGTGACCCTTTGTAATACATTGTTGTGGTACTCAATTAATTGAAATTTTCTATTAATTATAGAATTAGGGTCAAAGAGATTTATGTGAGCTCGTTCTTAGTATGTCAAGGTACTTCTCATTTTTTAGTCTTTAACATACATTTTACATACCCATTAACCGTTATTAGGTTGTGCTAGTGGAATCGATTTTAGTTGAGGTATACCTTATACTGCAGGGTCATTCACATTTACTACAATTTAATATAAATAAAGTTTCAAAAAAAAAAAAAAAAGCAATTTCATGTGACTTTTCACCTATATGGAAGTAGTAATGCCGCATCACAATTAATAGATAGTGAATCATATTTACTGTAACCTAATATTTTAGCAAAAGAAAATAAAATAAATTATATTTGTGAATCTCATGAGATCCACTTTCTATTAACGTGTTGTATTAAATGTTGTTAGTATACCTAGCATTATTGCTCGTTGAAAATTCACATATCAAACTTTGGATCCCGCAAACTATGATTGAGAACCTTGCAAGTCATGCATAACAATCCCTAACTAGTTAAAAACCCACACTTAGTGATTACTTGTATATTAAAAGAAAAGAAAAGAAAAACTAGGAAAATTATATCAATTAAATTACCCTATCTTAATAGTATTGTTTTGAATTGTCATCTTTTCAACATATCCTCTTAATTCGAATTTTTTTTTTATTCTAATATGATTATGATGTTATGTACTGATCTAGAAACACACATTGATAGGATATTTTTCTTGTACCTTGTTATAAAATCCTCCGAAAGAAACATATTTGTTTTTTTTTTTTTTTTAAAAAGCAAATAATTTATTAAAACATTAGAGTTTCCACGTAGGGAGTAGAGTAGAGATCACGATTTTGTTATCAAATAGATATCTACTGGCCATATGCTTTGAGAAACATATAAAAGTATATGCCAAACTAATTCTAAATTATTTTTTGCGTTTGAAAAAATAATTAAAAGCGTCAAATTAGGAGAGTTGTTATATTTGGTAAAGGAAGTTGGTATCCAATATCCATCGCTTGCATTATGATTTTGAATAATGCAACCCACACCTTTTTAATTTATTTGTATCTTTTTTTTTTTAAATAGATTTCGACAAACTTATATTCAAATATTACTTGAAAAACAAAATGCATGTTTGTCAAGGTAATCACGTCAAAATTATATCATAAGGGACAAAAAATGTATATCTCACGAAACCTACTGAAAATTGGTTGGCCAAACCCATATTAGCATGTATTTTAATTTCCTTCGGTTTTTTTCACCCAAACGAAAAACTCTCGTAATAATAACATCATGGTGGTAATACAATAAATTAATAATTTTAATTTTTTTTTTACCCTGACAACAAATTCTCTCTCCTCTCTCTATCTTTTTTTTTTTTGGCTAGGGAATAATTATACTATGTTTAGAAAACTTATAGAAAGTTTCTCCAGTTGGACCGGAAAAAATGAACTATTAATAATTTTCTATTTTTTTATTGTCAGATATGTATTAAAAATTATTTATTATGTATATTTTTTTAATCTGATGTGATTTTAAACAGATCCAGCGATGAGAAACTTACGCTATCGATACATCGGTTTATTAGAGAATGTCCTAAATCTATAAGGTTTCATCACAAAGCATAATTATACATATGTGTATAAGACTCTCAAGAAACTAAACTACCTACCTAGGAGTGACCACCCTATCACGTCTTGTGGATTTTGAACTTTTCTATAATAACATAAAATAAAATTATGATTTCTGATACTTTACGGGAAAGGTTTGACGTTTTTGTATCCTAGTGAGAGAGAGCGTGTGTGTATTATCAATATCAATATCATTGTTTTGGAAGTAACACAAACAAAGATAAGTGGCGTAATATCGTCAAACAGTACTATTGCCTCTCTTCTTCACCTTATTCATATTATTACACTCCCTGAGATTTGTGTATATTCATCGTTTCCATTCTCTTGTTCATTATATATATACACATATATGTGTGTGTCTATATATATATATAGTAGATTATTAATCCTACGTTAAAAAGGAAAAAAAAAAAAAAGATTGTCGTGTTGGGTTGTGGGGGTTAGATTGAAAGAAAAATAAATAAATGAATATAAGGATTTGGATTGAAATGATATTGGGAATGCTTGATTCGTTGCTTGGAGGGAAGGCTAGAAAGTTCATCAAGAGGAAAGACAGTGATGCGGGAGAAGCAGGTTTGTTCTTTTAATGATCTTTCTTTCACGTAGTCTTCAAAATCTTTTAGTGAAATCTGGGTTTTTTTTTTTTTTTTGTGTTTCTTTTTAGATGAGAATTATTAATTTTTCGGCCATTTAATTGGCTTTTTCGGTTTATTTTGTTCGCAATGATGATATATTACATCCTACGAATAATTATTTTTGTTTGTAAATGATCTTCATTATCATGTTTTCTATTATGTTGCATCACTCTTTATTAATGTGGTTTTGATCTTGTGTTTTTCAAAATCTTCATGCGAAATCTGGAGCTTTTTCTTTCTTTTTTTTTTCCTCTGTTTCGTTTTTGGATTCTCTATTATACTATGAGATCACCGTTTTATTTTATTGGTAATGACGTATTTAAATTCTTAAAGTCAAGAGAGAGTTTATTTGACAGTTCTAGATTGATTCTAGACATTAGTTCTATTCCTGTGTCTACAAGTGGGTCTTTAATGCTATTTATTTTCTCTTTTTCTGAATGCTAGAACACATTCAAGTTAATCAAGATTAATGGGTATTGATTATTTATTATTTTTGTTTTGAAAATGATCTTCTTAAATTAGATTTTACTGAAAATTAAAATCTGTTGCGCACTTCGAAATACCTCAAAACAAGCTCTCTGTTCCTGTAAACTGCATTAAAGCTAATTAGCTTTTGTCCTTCAAATCTTGTCCTGTTTGAGTTATTTTTATCTTGTAGTTTCTCACATTGCAAATCAGCAGGTAGAGCCCTTGAGGAGCTCAGAAGTAGTCTCTACAACGACATTCGAACTTCCGAAGGAGCCAGGCGGCAACAGCAGCAATTTTGTGGCCCGGTCGTCGCAATGACCTTCAACTTCATGGTGGCTGTTGGGATCATTCTGGCAAACAAATTGGTCTGAAAATGTTTTCCTACTATCTAGTTCATAAGCTTTTGAAATATGTTTGTTTTGTTCCATGTCTTACATTTAGTTGTGTTTTTTTTTTTTTTTTTTCCTTCTAGGTAATGGGAAGAGTTGGATTCAATTTCCCAATCTTTCTCACCCTAATCCATTACACAACAGCTTGGATTCTACTTGCAATATTCAAGGCACTCGCGATTCTTCCCGTTTCCCCGCCTTCGAAAGCTACTCCTTCCTCTTCTCTCTTCTCCTTGGGAGCTGTCATGGCTTTTGCCTCTGGTCTTGCCAATACCAGCCTAAAACACAACAGGTCTTTCTTTTAGTAACGCTTCTTTCCATATTTCCCTTTTTTTTTCAGTTGGGATTCCGGATATTTGAACACTGGGGTGTGGAATTACCGTTATTCTATGTCTCAACCACACTTCTTTTCATATTTCTAATCACTACTTGATTGTATATATTTTCTGTTTCCTTACCATTCTTTATCTCTACCTGCAGTGTGGGGTTCTACCAAATGGCAAAAATTGCTGTCACTCCAACCATTGTTTTCGCCGAGTTCATTCTCTTCAAGAAAACAATTCCTTTCAAAAAGGTGGGACAGCCTAAATAAATTTTGTCTGCGTAATAGGGCGGTTTGTACAATATTTACTTCAAAAAAAAAAAAAAAATGTTGTGTTAATCTTGTGGCTTAGACTAGACATTTATATTTCCATTTTGCTTCTGGCAGGTTTTGTCTTTGGTTGTTGTTTCAGCAGGTGTGGCAATTGCAACTGTCACAGACTTAGAGTTCAATCTATTTGGCGCCATAATCGCCATTGCGTGGATAATCCCGAGCGGGGTTAACAAAATCCTATGGTCTAATCTCCAACAGAGTGACAATTGGACTGCTCTTGCGTAAGTATTTCCTCTCTCTCTTTCTCTCACTTTCTCTCAATCTGATAAGCTGAAAGATGGACTAATTGACACAAGCATTTTGAAACAAATTTCTTTGAATTTATAGGTTGATGTGGAAGACAACCCCAATTACCATTTTCTTCTTGGTAGCTTTGATGCCATGGTTGGACCCTCCAGGAATACTTTCCTTCAAGTGGGATATCCACAACTCAACTGTCATTCTCATATCCGCTCTCCTCGGTTTTCTCCTCCAATGGTCTGGAGCTTTAGCACTAGGGTAAATACTTTTGTTCACAAAATTTCACTTTCAAACTTGTAAACTCGGAGAATTCTGTGGCAGGGTCCCGAAAGATACCCTGTCGGTTCTAAATAGTTATGGCCTGTCATATCTTCATCAAATTTCATCAAACTAGCATACATTTTTTTCTAGTGCGGTTAAAGTATCGATAAAAGATTTTTTATCTTTGAACTTCCCTTTAGACTAGTAATATCTCTAACTTTTCAATTACTGGTCCTCTCCTCTCATAATTTACTGACTTGTTTAGGGGTAACTAATGACACAACCTTTTCCTTTCATCTTTTTATGCAGTGCAACTTCAGCAACTTCTCATGTTGTGCTTGGACAGTTCAAAACATGTGTACTACTACTAGGAAGCTATTTTATTTTCAATTCGGATCCCGGGTTTGTGAGCATTTGTGGGGCTGTCGCCGCTCTTTGCGGTATGACCGTTTACACGTCACTCAACCTGAAGGAGAAACATGAAAGCTCCAGCAAGCAGACTTCTTCAAAACCCACAAGTGACCAAGAAAGTGCAAATTTGGATGTAAAGAATAACTCAAATATTGTCTAGACACTATAAGAAGACAATAAAATTTGTGTTATAGAGGAAGTGTCTAGGCTAATCTAGAAGAGAGAGTCTTGTAATCTCCCATGTTTTATCCTTTGGGAATTGGATTAATTTCGAGCGTGAACTCAAAACTTAAGCCAAGAGTGATTGAGATATGCAGTTTTGGGTTTAGTCGAGAGAGTTCATTTGGGACAGATGATCATAACCCACAAATGTACAGATTCATTTTAGAAGTTGTAATTCAGAATATTTTAGTTTTCAAAACAGTGTTCTTTGGCCCCTAATTGCTACTTTCCTTCCCCCATTTTTCTTCTCCTTAAAGCAACTTGATGGGAAGAAAAGAGAAGAAAAGGCTTTTTTTTTTTATAAGAAAATTGGGCAAAATGACCATTTTATTCTCACATTTTTTAATGAATGGCCAAACTATTTATTTTTTAAATAAATAGCAGATTTTTTTAAGAAACGTGCAGTATTCTATGATACATCATCCAATTAATCAATAATAGCTCACTAACTTAATACTCCAAAAAAAAAGGGGAAAACCTCCAAAATAAAGAAAAGGGAATTTGATCACAAGATAGTAGGTTTCAATGGAGATTTTAAATTTGGCAGGCTATTAAATTATCTAATTTTCAGTCACATTTTAAAAAAGTGAAATTTTAATACTCATACACCAAGAATTTTTTAGTACTTAAAAATGACACTAAAAAAAAAAAAAAAAAAAAAAAAAAAAAAAAAAAATGTAGATTCTTATTTTTGCCTTTCAAGATTCCTGAAATGGACACCATAAAAGTACTTAGGGAAGATAATTTTGCTACTTGCAAAAGATTAGAAATAGCCAATGAAAACAAAATAGAATGGCCACTACTCATATATCACTTACAACCTTACATTTTTGCTATCGAAAATATACAGGTGAGTTTCAGAAAGAGGAAAAATTGGTAAATCCCACCTATTCTATCATTCTCTTCATTTCCTATATTATGTCTTAAGGAATTACTAAAAGGTCACGACTACCCATCCAAAAAGAAAGAATAAAAGAGCTAGGAAAAAAAGGATGAGGAGGGACACAACATCAAGAAAAGGCAAAACAAAAAAAGACCCCAAACCTATCCCCCTCAATTTCTTAATTGGTCAGTTCACAAATATCTCCAACAAAAGATTCATATCAAAAATTTTGGGCCGCATCTTATATTTACACTCAAGATCAGGCCAATGTATCGTCGAACCCCTCCGAAAAGACTTTATCTTAATCCACACTTTAGGCGTGTTTGTCCATTGTGGCCTCCGAAAAAGTTTATTACCAATCAGAAAGCAGTATTCCAATTAACTTGGGCGTGCTGAGGCTGCTGATAAGCACCGGATGGGGGTCCTATTGTTTCGATGGCTCCGGCCATAGCTTGAGACTGCTGCAAGAGCGTTGATGGTGTGGTCATAGCATGACCAGGCGGGAACATCCCGGTGAAGGTACCATGACCAGACTGTTGAGGCGAGTAAGCGATGTGTCCTTGAGGAGGGAGGTTATACAAGGAATTCACCTGCAAGCTGGGCATGTCTTGTCCTGCAGCATGAATCCAAACGGCTGAACCTTCAGTCTGCGAAGAACACGACCCAAAACACAGCTATTAGCCATTGCAATGAGAAAAGAAAATTTTCGTGGAAAGAAAAATACAAATCAGGAAACAAATGAGGCACAGGCTTAGTTTGGGATGTTCTCTTTTTGCAACAAGTGCCAATAAAAGTACAAGTAGAAATCAATAGTTAAAAGACTAGCTTGTCAAAACAACTCTAAAGTGCATTGGGGTATGTGCAAATTATTTTCCTGAACTTCTACGGAACAAGCTACTTGGATCAAGTAATGTGCAAGGACTTCTGGCCTAAAGCAACATGGGGCCTCCAAAAGCTACACCAAACCGATCCAAGGGTCTACGTCAACAATAAATATAACATATCCAATGGGGGTCTGTATTTCATTAAGTATAAGGAAAACCCACCACTTGTCCCGTGGTGTAGATTTGATTTTCCTTCAGGTGAGATGCGACTAGATCTTCATTACCAACAGAACTTCCAGATGTAACCGGCTGAGTGTAACCAACAGGGGAAGTAATAAACGAACCCGCAGACTGAATCCCAATATGAGTTGGGTTTCCAGCATTGTTCCCTGGCTTGAACTGTGGAACAGAGAATTTGACTCCAGTTGGTGCTGGTGGTAGATACACATTCCCAGTTGAAGGTTGTGGCGGAAACCCATTATGGCTTAGGAACTGGTGCATTGGTGTTGGTGGCATGTAAAACGGAGATAGGTAGTGCCCATACGGAAAGAAGTTAGGAGGATATGTCTGCCTGAAAACAGGAACCGTCTGTGGAGACACAGCAATTGAGTTCGGCAGTGGTGGAGATGCGTTTGTGCTAGGTGGAGCCAGAGAATTCCCATTCTACATTATGTCTTCAAAAGCATCAGAAACGTATAAACTTGAAGTAAAGGTTAGAAAATACTAATAAAGACACAGACATGACAAATGTAAGGAGTACACAACTTTCGACTTTGGTAATTGTTACTTCTTGGAAAAAGCTTTGTGATATAAATTCATCCATAATTTTTAAATTTAAACTAGTATAAAGCCAGGTAACGGATTGCTATATTTTCCCCATTAATGGTATTTTTTTCTGATAACACAGGATTCTCTCTAAGATTATGATTGCTCAAAATATTCCAGAAACATGTGATATTGAAGCACGCTCACAGAAATTAATTCACAGTAACTAAAAAAAGAAACACGCACAAATTTTATTCCCTAATATGAAGAAAGAAGATGAACCTAACCAGATAGAGAAAAGGATGGGGGAAAATACTATAGAGAAACGGGCTCCGAAAACTTACAGCAAAGTTAGGGACACGAGATTCATGAGCTTGAGCTCCATGTCCTTTCAGTTGTACAAGGTGGCTCCCAACCACGGGAGGCATGATACCAAGACCATAGGCCGTCCCATCTATGACAGATGGGTTCTGAGGCCCTTCTGGAGGAAACTGTGTATCCTGCTTCGACTGTTCAATCTTTGAATCCTCAGAAGGTTGTAATTTCTCGAGAACTTGAGGCAAAGGTTGTGAATTATCATCAAGGTAATCACCTTGCACAATTGAGGATACATTTTGATCGCTGCATAAAAACACAACATTGTCGGTGAATAAATAACCACGGATAAGCAAACTGCTGAAATTATGGGTGTTTGCCAATTTGAAGGTGCCAAAAACAAGTGACTGGAAAGAAGTTTGAGTGAGAAACCTATAACTTAATTCTCTCATCGTCTGCACATGGTGACTTCTACAATATCTGATACCTATATTTCATTCCACATGACACAAACAACAACAGAAGCAACAACAAACATATATTGCCAAAAGAAAACCTATGATAAACCAAAACGGCAGCTGAAAATCTCTTGAGGACCCAATCTAACTCATTTGAATTCTACTCACCCAATGTGCATTCACAAAAATGAACCACAAAAAATATTGGAAATTCAGAAATACTTTCTTGTTATCATAAAGAAGAAAGTTTCCCCGACAAGAAAGAGAAACGAGTAAGAATACGACGAACAAAAACAAAACAAAACAAAACAAAAAAAAAGAAGTGCAAAATGCTAAAATTAGATAAGTTATCGAATTTACAAACCTAGGAGAAGATTCTTTAGAAGCATCACCGCTAGCCTCAGAAGAAGCACCCATATTATCATCAGCAAAAGAACTGACTGACTCCACTTTTGGTCCAAAATTAGCATCAAAGCTTCCAAAAGTCAATCCATTCTTCAAAGCTTCCGGGACTTGAAAATGATTTGGAAAAGTAACATGTTGCCCATCGGAAACATGCAACTCGCTTGTCGAACTAACTTCAGCTGCAACAACAGCAGGCTCTGGAGTGACAACTGCTTTAGAAAAAGAACAGAATGAGCAAGCCACTTAATCATGTAAGTAAAAAATAAATAACAACAAGGGAAAAAAATGGATTTCGAAGTAGAAATATGACTAGATTAAAAGAAATGGTGCTTTTGACAAAATACATATATATAATGATTTTGTTTGGTTCTGCTATATATACACACATATATATGTATATAGAAGAACCAAACAAACATCAAGGCCTTGTTCAGTTCTCCGATTCGAGTTCTCAATTCAAGTTGAGATGTGACTTTTTGTGAGAACTTTTTACTGTAGCATAAAAAGTTAAATATGACTTTTTGTGAGAGCTTTTTATTGTAGTAAAGTGGAATTGAAAACTCGAATCGGAGAGCTAAACGAGACCCAAGAAAATCATGAAATGTGAATTATATGGGATTTCAAATATATTATAATATGGTTAAAGAAAGGGAAGAAAACTCTATACGAGCAATAAAAAGAATTCTAAAGCGTGTTTTTAAAAGCAACATTTTATGTCGATGACATAAAAAGAATCCCTGTGAAAGTGAATTGTGAAATGGGAGAGAAGCTCTTTAGGTGACTGCTATCACCATCAGAAAAAGGTCAGTTAGCCCAATTACCTTCACAGGTTGTCAGAGGAGGAGGTTGCGAAGTCTCAGATGCCTTTGGCTTGCTTGAACTGTTCGTATTCACGCCCTCATTCACAGCTTCGTCACTTTCTGACTGAACTGAACTAACGTTGTCAGTGAAAACATCAGTTTTGTTTTCATTATTAGGATTGGGTTCAGCCGCCACCTGTTGCCTTTCTGCTTCATTTTCCACTGTACTTGCACTACCAGAAGGCGTAGAAAGAGAATCCAAAGAGTGAACACCAGACATATGGTTGAGCAGATGCTGATCAGATTTTTGTTGCTCAGTGTCCATTGAGCCAAAGGTAGGTGAAGAGGTCACACCAAGAGCAGCGGGTTGAGCGGATGCTGGCCCCAATTTGTTTATATCACTTAGTGAAGGGCCTTCAGAACCAACGGATGACTTGGGGCCATAACCGTGACTAGAAGTCCAACCGTGACTAGAAGTCCCATTAGATAGATTTGTGGTGCCATTAGGTAAGGCAGTTGATGCCCTGTGAAATACAGGGAAATATAAATACAGCAAATAAAACAACTTCAAATCTATAAGACAACCCAGTACTGAACTCCTGATCTAAACCATTATATATTCAGGAAATGGAACTTACTTTGTGACTCGGGGTGTGGCATTATTTTTTGTTCTCTGTGAAAATGGCAATGAACCTCTATCTGCAGTGTGATTCGCCCCAATTTCTCTTCTCCCTGCATTCTTTCCACCACCGGCATCTAAAATGAGTCGTTCACAACAACAACATTACATATGTCAGTTAAATTAATTCCTCGCAAACAAAAAGAATGAAGTTCCCAATTAACTACCATATTCAAGGGTTAGCTATTTTATGAAGATGGAATATGAGCATAGACCAAAGTAAGCGTTTACCCGAAGAAAAATTAGAACCATAATTTCCTTGGCCACCACCTCTAGCACCTCTCCTCTGCACACCCGATGTTGACCTCTCTTCAGATGCTTTGTTGTTTAAGCTCTACAATTGTAATAAAGAAATGATTTCATTAATTGATCTCTATGAGCTGAAAAGTAAAAATTGAAGCCTATTCAACCTAATAATTAAAATAAGCGATTTTTTTTTCGATTTTTCATCCAATCTTACCTCCTTTCTCCGGTCACGTCTTCTTTTCACCTCATGAAAAGTATCTGCCAAGTGCCAACCAAGCATTTACTTATTAGCTTCAGGAACAAGAAGATGGTGGATATAATCTTACATGTTTAAGGTACCAACTTCTATGGAATTACAGACCTTATCTAGGCCTTTACAAAACATATACAAATAAACAAAATTATTCCCATGTCCCATCTCATTTTTTATTCATTCAATTAGCTAAACAAGATTAAAAGGTATAATCCAACAACTAAGCTTAGCTAATATGCTCTAGCCATGCTTGGATTTCTTAATCACAACACATCAAAAGCCAAGAAAAAAAAAAACAATATGCGGAAAAAAGTCTTAACTTTTTTATCAACCCAGCCCAATCAAAAAAAAAAAAAAGCAGCAGAAAGCTTAACCCCAAAGTACCTAAAGCTCTTACTTTGCTAAAGCTGCCACTCCCAAAAAAAATTAAAAAAAAAAAATCCATTTTTCTTCATTTCTTCGACTTTTCTCGGCAACCAAACACGACCCATTGGAGAATAACCAAAACCCAGAAACCCTATAGATCAAAAAAGAAAGAAAGAAAGAAAGAAAGAAAACCCAAAAAATCCCTCGTACTGGAAGGGAACCCCAAAACCCAGATAGACAAAAACCCCTAAAGCAATACACAAACATGTGAAGATAAACGCATACAAGTATACATATAATATATATATATAATACCTAAATATAAGAGCTTTTGAGCGGTCTCGTTGGGATCCATGGCGCACTCCTTAAGGACAGCGAAGATTTCATCGTCGCTGTGCTGTTTGCCAGTGATCTCTCTGATGTCGTGGATCGTTTTCCGTACATTGTTGGGGATTGAAACCCTAGAACCGCCAACGCCGCTGCTCATGTTGTTCTGTTCTTCTGCGTGAGGAGAAAAGGAGAGAGACTACCTGTGTGTGACCTTTTTTTTAGAGAGAGAAAGAGGAGAGAGGGACTGGAAAATAAACTTGACCCATTATATATAATATGAACTAGGGGGGAAAATATATTTGCGTGTGTATTTATAATAAGTAATGTAACATATAATAAAGTGTTTTGGGTCATGTATGACATATATATATATATATGCACATGTATATATACTTACAGCAAAACAAATAAGTGCATGAATATCTACATATATACTTTAAAGAAAATGTGTGTATATTTATGTCTGTATAATTTTTTGTTTCGAGATTAGCACAAAAAAAAAAAAAAAATTGTTTAGAGGGTATGTATGTATGTATAATTGTATATTTGTTTGTGTGTTTCGTTTAAAAGATGAAAAAGAAATGATTTCTTTCTTATGCAATTTTTTTATTTTGGTTTATAGTAAAAAATTATGAATCCTATGAGAGAGATTCCCTTTTTTATTTTTTTAATGGAAATTCATTCCAAATCAAAAATATATATATATATAATCATTAATTCAGACTTGAAACACCTAATCACAAATATCAACTCAATCTCGTCCATAAAGATTTGACTGAAACGATCGAAGGGTAACACATGTACTAAGTTCTAACAAAGAGAAATGAAAGAAGCACACACACACAATTGAGCACAACAATTGTTCTTTTAAACACACCACTAACACCACAACATTCGGCGGATGACTCAGGTCGACTGAGAACAAGATACTAAAAATATAAAGGCTTACCACAACATCGCATAGAAATATAACATACGGAGTAGACAAAATGACAACGTCAGAAAGTAAAGAGACCACATCTGTTAGTACAACCGAACACTAATAACACAATCCAAACACATTAAAACTAAATGGCAAAAACACCAATGCCTTTATTCGACAAACACAAAAACAAAAACAAAGGGTAAAACCCAAATAACACCAGGAGGACTTCCGATGACACGCAGACCACGACCCCGAATGAGCAAGGACGTTCAGCAACCCGAAGAAACACTGGAGAAGAGCCGAACCACTGACGCTGCCTCCGCCCTCCACTTGCAAAGGAACAAGCCAAACTAGATCCGCTGCCCAGCCGACGTTGAAGCCCCTAAAGCGTAGCAACGCCGGAGCACCTACGCATCCCTAACCTGTGAAGAGAGACACAACCACTCCACCCTTCCGCCGCCATCCCCGACAGCCAAATCGATCACCAACCACCTCCAAGAGAAGACCATGTTGAGGAAACCAGACCCCAAACGACTTAGATTTGTCGATGCAAAGGTGTGCCTAAAGGCAGCAGCCAAATGGGCATTGGAAAAACCCCTCATAGACCTACTCTTCCTTCCCCAATCACGACCCTATCGATACCTCCCCAAAAAGATCCATGCTACTGCACCTAAGAACCCTCCCATTCCCCTCTTTTACGTGATATATGTTATGTGCATAAGAATGGCATATTTTCTATTACAGTTAATGCCCAAAAAAATGTCTTAATTAAAAGTTAAGGAAAACGTTGTGTTTTAACCTAGTTTGGATTAAAAAATTCATGCTAACCCATCATCCTATACATGTGATTAAAAAATTTAAAATGTTTTTCAACTCATTATTTCATGATTCAAAATTTGTGATTATTAAAATGACGTGGCATAACATAATTGCTACACCATTTGAAACATTAAAAATTGGATATGTATTCATTTTAAGTTTATTAAATTTGACAGATAAATAAAATTAAAACTCATTATGTACAAATAGAAGTGCTTGTTTGTTTTCCCATTTGTTATCACACATAATCTTCTGTATCTATACAATCTTAAAAGAGCCGAAAGCATTAGAAAAATGAGTAATTTGCACAAATGGTCCACAACCTGTTTAGTAAGTGACAGTTTGGTCCCTAATTCTTTTTTAGCAAAACGACCCCCAACCTCTTTAAACGGGTGCAATCTGGTCCTTTCCATCCAAAAAGTAATGGGACAATGCACGTGACCC